GTGTAACTGAATCTGGAGGGATCGTTGTTCATCTGGGCCTGTTGATCTTTTAACATCAAAGCCAGCAGGGAACACTGGGTATTTACATGCCTTGAGACTTTGTTTTCCTAATGGATAATTCTACCCTCATAGATCATAACACTGCTGGTTATTCCCACCACCCCACCCTCACTACACCCCCAGAGGATACTTCAGGACTTCATTTCTCACAGGTTTATCTCAGACTGACATTGTACTGATGCTAAAGTGTCTTTTGAGAGTCTGATGGCCCTGCAGCATGGCCTGGCCTGGCTGAGGCCGGGGGCTTCTGCTGGTTTAAACCAGTCGGTGGCTTTTAGCTCCAAAACACTCCTAAATACCTGCTACCGTGCCCTGGGCCCCTCAGCAGCACGCCTCCCTGTGCTGGCCATGCAGGACACGCTGGCCTTGGTGTGCTGATGCGGACCTTTGACACCAGCCAAACATAGGATGATTTCCGGGCTCGGTATAACTGTTTTGTGCACAGGGCTGAAGCCAGGGCTGAGGACTGCTGTCCTTTACGGAAGCATGTCGTTGTTCGGTGGGTATTTCCATGTTAATGGAGCCACCGCGCAACTGGAGGAGAGGTTTCTGTGGGAAAACGAGGGCAGCACCCCGTGAGGCGGGAGCGGCCGCCAGGGGCCGCGCTGCCGCCGGGCTGACGGGGCCGGGGCTGGCGGCGCGGAGCCGAGCAGCGGGAGCCGGTGCTGGGTCCGGGTCCGGGTCCAAGTCCGGGTCTGGTGCGCAGCGGGTTCGCGGTATGAAAAGGCTCCATCAGCTCAGCAGCGCTCGAGGCCCGGGAGGGGAGAGCCACAGTGCGCTCCCCGGGCCGTCCCACACGGCCGCTGCTTGCCCGTCCGCCCCTGAGGTAACGCGCGTGCAGCCGGCAGCGCTGAGGCGGGTCGTGCCCTGAGGCGAGGTGCTGGCCGCCCTCACGACAAGGCCGCCGGCGTGCAGAGCAGACTGGACCGCTACGAACTCATGTAAAACTAGACCTCCTCCAATGGTTTAGAGAGGAATTTGCTTGGTCTGAGACCTGGAAGCGAACACAAGTCCTGGTACCCAACTCGGGGCAGCTGGATGCTGTTCGCTGTGGAAATCCGCGTAGCTGTGCCACCTCGGTAAGAGTTGCCATGTTCACCCTCTGGATCCTGTGAGGGTTATAGTCACGGGGAGGATTACAGCCACTGGGAGGGAAAAGTGTTCTATTTGTGGAGCAAACAAAGACAAAAATGCAAAAAATTGAGCTCTTGCTGTTGAGTGCTGGTTGGCGGGGAGGAGGAGCAGCCCAGTCAGCTCCATCACTGGCCTCTCTTAACAGTGAATTGGTTTATTTCCTCTAGTCCCGTCAGTTTCCTAACAACTTTCACTGTTATTTTCCAAAACGAGACTCTGTCTCCTCTTCCTGTTTGGTCTGATGTGTGGATCACCTTGCCATGGTGTCAAGTCACTGAGAGGACAAAGATCTCAATTCCTCTTCTTGGAGATGCATCCTTCACCCCTTGGCTTTAACTGCCTGAAAGCTTGTCAGTTCTGGGTTAACTGTAAGCATGACTTATTTTATGTTAGAAATGAACCTTGAGTTACTAACTGGTCTCCATTAAGAACAATTCATTTGGAATGAACCACCGTGTCCTGTGATCCCATCAGGTGACAGTTAAAAAGGTGCAGAAACACATTTTGGACACTGTAAGGGCTGGCCTGATAGAAGAACTCACTCTTAAGACAACCGCCCAAAAAATGGTTAATGGTGGATTTAATTCCTTCCCCAGCTACAACCAAAAAGACAATTAGATCTAACTACAACCAATTGCAGCCACTGGGGCAGCAGAGAGCTGGAGGTGGAAAGACTAGAGTCTACTTTTTCAGTGCTGGGCTTGAAAAAGTCCTAAGTATAACATGGGGAATAGGGAGGGTTAGGAGGACAGTCTTTCAATGCAAGTTAGAAAACAGAGAAGAGATGGGACCTTATTTTTTCCCACAATTTCTTCTCTTCAGGAAGGAAAGTATCCATGAATCAGGGAGAATCCAAAAGGCAGCACATGCAGACTAATTCATATTGACCCTAGAAGTTGAACTTGCATTGTCCCAGCCATGATACGTATCATTGATACTGGGAGAGCACTTTGCTGCTGTTACCTTTTGGGCACAGTTTAAACACATCTCATACCATGTGTGGTCCTTAAAGATTTGTTTGCTATTTTCATGAGTATGAAGGGGTTAATCTGTGTGGTTTGATCCAGTCCCAACTAATTTCTTGCTAGGGTTGAGTTTGGGTGCAGTGGTTTTGGCTTCTGATCCAAAATACTGTGTTTTGCCTCATCAGTTGCCTTCCAGGGCTGGCTGCTGGCTGACTCCAGTACAGTAATCAAGCTGGGGAGGTTGCTCCATTTAGTTCCAATTATGAGAGCTGGGCAGTTTTGTAAAAGCCCTTTGGGGCTACTTTGGGTGGAAAAAAGGACCCTTGAACAAACTGTTTTGATTTGCTCCAGGAGGCTTAGCTAACAGATGTGGGCTGGGTCCCTACTTTGAGGGCTTTCTATTGCATATTCATGAGCTGACCTTTATAGCCACTTCCAGTGCAGGAAGGACGTGTATCTACATTTTGTTCACAGCATTAGGCATATAAAAGGTTGCCTCCATGACTGAATGTGAAAATGGATTGGGGTTTATTATCTCAAGTTCTTCTGCCTACGTTTCTTCTGAAGCCCTTGTATGTTCTGTCTGCATCTGCCCTGTGGTGGCCCACAGTTCCCTAGTTTCTCTAGCAATTACTGTTTTCCAAGGTACAGTCACCAGGGGATGCAGTGGGGAAAAATGACAGCCTAAATTAAGAGGCTCTCACAGACTTGGAAGATGATAATTTGTCAGTAACAAAACTCCTCATTAGAATACTGTTAATTTCCTTTCTGTGGCAATTATAGCACAGCACTAGCTCATATGTGCAATGTGCAGAGATATTTCCCTGGGAAAAAAAAAAAAAAACAACACCCCTATCATTACCACTAGTGAAAAATATTCCTTAGGGTGAAAAATGAACTTGTAATTTAGCAGCAGTTTTCCAGCTTAGTGGGAGTTTGGTGTTAAGGTTTTGGGAGTTCTCCCTGTCGTATATTATATTTATACTAGACTTCATGGTTAGCGTTTTCCCACTAGCATCTGGAATCAGAGGTGATACAGAGCTCTTGACATGGCAGTCCCCAACTGGGTGGAACCTGTTACCCCTGAAATTCAGCTCATTTAATCTCCCTTCACTTTAAAAATGCGCTTCCCTCCTCCCTACAGACATCTTTAAGTGATTGCTGTTTCTTTCTGTTGGCATAGCATATTTTTGCTTATCCATCTGTTTTGAAGTTTTGATGAGGTTTAGTTTTTCAATCAAAAAGAGATTGTTTTTATAATAGCTGTTTAGTGCCTGGAATGTTTTGGCAGTGGTGCTGGTGTATGAGTACAGTGGGTTTGTGCTTCTCAGAAGTGCTAGATCTGGTAGCCTGTTTTTACACTTTGAGAGAGCAGGCTGGACAGGCTCTAGACAATACAGAAGTGAATGCTGTGCTCAGGGAATCACCTTTAAACCCGAAGAAGGTTTGCTCTGTTTAACTGATGAGTGTTGGTCATAAAAGGGGAGAGAAGCCCTCTTGTTCATCGGTTGCACTGGAGACCCCTGAAGAGCTTTTATTTTGTTGTCATTCACCTGAATTCTGGGGTAGAAAAGTTCTGCTCTTCAGGTCCAAAGTTCTGGAGTTTACTTCTTGCACATGCTTAAAAAGTTTACCTAAAATCTTCAAACTACTGGAAGGGACATTTCTTTAAAAAATATCTCCTAGCTCGGATTGTGATCTGCTGGCACAGAGCTATCAACAGAGGGAAGTCTTTTACCTGAACACTCCTTGAAGATAACAGATTCCTTCCTAATATTTGCTCAGGGTGGGGCATCTCAAGCAGCACTACAGGATGAGATTATCATCTTAACTCTTTTATTTGTTCCCCAAATATGGATTATTTGCAGGATTGAGGTCTTCTGCTGGTTTGGCCAAGGGATCAGATCAGGTAACAGAGAATATCATTCCCTTTAGTTGATCTTGCTGAGCTGTGTGGGATGATATTCTAGCCTCTGGTCCTGACCCTAAATTAGCGCCAGCCATGCAGGATGCTGAGATGTGGAAACCTGCTCTTCTTTGGTGGCTGTAGCTTGTGTGGGTGTATGGAAAGGACTTAGCACTGCTTCCTTTTTCTTGCAGAAAAATCTTTTAGCAACTAACAAGCTAGGGCCCAATGGCTAAGGGCATGGGCCTGTGTGTTTCCCCATCACTGTGTGGGACAAATCTAATATGGATCAAAAGTAATTCACAGTATGGAGCTCATGGTAGCCGTGGATAGGAGAGACAATCTTTGCCGCCTGCTCCAGTACTGCCAGACGGAAGATCCCGTTCCTGTTCTAGTGGTATTCTAGCTGGATGTTGGGGTTTTGTTGTTGTTGTTCCAAACAAATTTGTAGAGAAAAGAGAGACTTCTAGCTTGGCTCTGTCCTTGTGGCTGAGGTGTGTCTGATCTGGTATTGGAGCTCCTGCATTAAGAAAACGTGCCCTGCGGTGCTGGACTGTCTGCTCTGACTCTGGCCCTGTCTGGCGTTGGCTGTTGGTGAAGCAGAAAGCAGAGGCACTGGCAATGCATGGATCAGCCTGGCTCGCTTGCCCTTCCCCCTTGCCAACCTGCTACATCTCTACTTCATTGGATGAAGTTAAAACTGCTGAATCTTTGCCTTCGGTCAGGGCATTCCTCAAGTTCCTAATCCAGGCTCCAGATGGTCAAGATACGCACCTTGACATAGAGGAACAAATAATTATGGCAAAACACTTAAAACCCCACAATGGGCCCTAGCCGTGGGGCTCTCCAGGACAGAGAGGTTACCTTCAGAGGGCCCAGATAGCGCCACACGTCTGGCCACCAGCCCGCTGGGACCCTCGGGACCGCAATAGCAGGTGCCAGAGCGCGGCACCGGAGGAGAGCGGGCTGAGATCCGCCGGTTCCGCTCGCCCGGGCCCTGCCGCGAGGGTCGCTCCGGGAGGGCAGGGGCGACCCGCGGCTCCCCCGCCGCATCCTCGGACGTGCTGCTGCTCCGGGCTCTGCCTCCCCCGCGCTGGGAAGGGCGGGCCGCCGGCCGCAGGGCTCGGGGGAGGTGCCGGCCGTGCCCGGGGAGGGGTCACCTGCCCCGTCCGGAGCCGGCCGCCGGGATGCCGCCCGCCAGCGCTGCCAACGCTAATTGGATGTTCCCTGGATGGAGGATTTCCTCCCCTCCCGGCTGCGGGAGTCACGGAGGCAGGCTCGGTTGCGCTTGAAAGTTTGCCAAGCAGCAGCTAGGTTTAATTTCTTTAAGGATCTGGGGAGAAGGGAAAGGGGGCGGGGGGGGCGGGGGCTGGAAGGGGACCGTTTCCAAGCATGGGAGACAGGCTGCCGGAGCCTCACGCCAGCTCTTCCCCTGCTGTGGCTGCCAGCTCAGAGGCGGAAGAAATCGAGGTGCTGGACTCAGAGGATGTCCTACCTATGGCTGCAGAGGATGTAAGTTTCCTTTGCTCGGTGTCTGCCCACCTTTCCCCAGGGCCGGGTTAATCGGCTCGAGCTATTTATAGATGAAGTCCGGAATGGGGGGAGGAATGGGGCTGGTGACCCTCTGGGGCCGGGGAAAGCCGCTGTCCCCGCCGCCCTCCCGCCGCCGGTGCCTGCGGCTGTTTCCGTCCCCGGGAACGCAGCTCCTTTCTCCTTGCCCCAGCTCGGAGAGCTCTGGCGGCAGCGGCCCGGACGGGCTGCGGGTCCGTTCGGTGGGATGCTGGGTCCCTGCGAGCGGCGGCCGGCTGGGCAGGGGCGGCGGGGCTGCGCACGAAGCTGTCCCTGGAGGCTGGAGAGGGGCTGACGCCTCGGCTTGAGCCGCTTCCAAGGGACAGAGAGCTTCTCCAGAGAGCCAGCCACTCGGAGGGTGACAGATACGAAACGCTCTTGGGAGCCTGTTCCTTCTTCCAGCCCCCGAGCAACAAACAGCCCAGGAAGTTTTCTCCCCGACGCGGCTGGGCTGATGCTTCCCTCCACCCTCTGAGCTCTGATTGCACCTGAGGGTGGGAAAACTTGGCACCGGTCTCTGCCTCTGCTCATCCAGCCTAGAAGGACACCATGTGGTCCTGCGTGCTTTGAATCTGCTCCTGCCGGGCTGAGCAGCAAAGCCTGCAGAGCTGAGGTGGTAGTTCTGCATCTGCCGGTCCCGGAGGCAGCAGCTCGCTATGCACCTGTCTGTGAGGGCGCGAACGTAAGCGGATCCTGCGGTCCTGGTGCACTCTATTACTGCTCGCAGCATTTCTTCCCAGCAAACTCTGCTGGGTTGAAGACTAGGCAAACTGCTCAGCCTGCAGAGGAAAGTGCGGAGTCTGCCTCTGCGTATGAAGGCATGAAGCAGTGATACTAAATGTCTTTCTGCAGAGGGCTCTGTCTCAGGTCTTGCACCAGTTTGAGAGGGAAACTTGTGAACTAAGCTTCCAGTAGTGGTGCATCCCCCTTTCCCTCTACTTTTACCACACTGGGGCTGCTTAGGGGCAGTGTCTGCTCTTCATCCCCCAGCCCTTCCTTCTGAATCACCTAGAATTCGGATGCTGTTGGATTTTCCTCCCAGAGGGTAGCAGAGGAAGTGCAATTGCCTGGCAGAGCTGCATTCCCTAGGCTGTATCCTGAGCGCTGTATAGTCAGGAGAGAACGTGTGATGCAGTTTGAAATCTGCTACAGCACTGCCAGACAGCCCTAAGAGAAGCATGCCTGACCCTGGGGTATGTGTAGCTTTCACTTGGAAGGAGTGGCTTTCCACAGGCCAGGTTTCCAAATCCCAGTGCTTGCTTACCTCAGACTGTGACCTTTCTTTCTCTGACAATTTCTGTGGTTGTCTGGGTGGTCTACAAGAAAGATTTCCTGCTGTGATACACATGGACCCCTTGGAGTTACTCCAGCCTCTACATGACTGCAGCCATTAGCAATTCAATCCTGCCAGGGGCACAGGAGATGCTGAAGTGCTGAGTGCCTGGCAGGACTGGGCTCCTGAGACAGCACAGAGACCATGAGCTTTCCTCAGTGAAATCTAGATTTTCATCCTAGTTCTGCTACTGACTTGCTACTTGACCTTGAGGTAGGACAGCTCAGGTCTGACCCAGCTTGCAGTGTCTTGCTGGAATCTGCATTGTTATTTGACTCTGGTACCTTGTTTTCTGCAATCAACAAAATTGGGCTAGAGCCTGCAGTTGCATCGGTTATGGGAAGCTGCTGAGACTTGGCAATAGATGATGTGATAGAAACCTGAGGTATCGGATATCATCTGCAAGTGAGGAGCAGGAAGTGGTGTAAATGCTCTCCTCCTTGGCCAAGATTTCCTGCTGAAACAGGCTACAGAGCATCATCTCTGAACATTCAAACTGCTTTGTGCTAGGACCCGAGTGCCCTCCTGAGACCTCACTGGGGGTTGAGTTTCTGTTGTTATTACGTTGGAAAGCTTGATGTGAGCTCTTGGGCTTGGCCAGCAAGAACTGACTCAAGGTCACTTCTTTATGTGTTATTAACAACAGAAATGTTACAGAGTGGCGGTTTGGCTGTCACAGCCTTGTCAGTGTGCAACAGCTCAGCTGTGATGTCATTAAAGCTCTGGGAGCAGCCTTCCACAAAGCCAGGATTCAGGCAGTCCCCAAATGTTCTGTTTAAAGTGCTGGGCTGATTTATGATGATAAATGGGAGTTTATAAATGGATAGAGGCATGGGGAGGAGGGGAGCCAACAACTTAACTGATTAAATGGAATTCAGTGGCCTCATATCCCACTGTCTCTCCAGTCAATTCTGCTTTAGATCTGCCTACCATATGAAAGGAAATGTTCTTCCAGGGCTAGATAAGACTTTCACCAGAGTCCTGCTTTGCATATAGCACAGAGAGATTTGTTTCTCTCAGTCTGGTGTTTGTTGGTTTACTCATTTTGCCTCTCTGGCAGGGTGAATGGGGCAGAAACAAAGTGTTGTGGTGCCTGGGAATGTGGGAATGGGAATGTGCATATTTTTTTCTGAGGACCCCAAGCCAGTGGTTACCCCACTGTTGCCCTGTGGAAGTTGTTCTCTTCTTAGCTGGCTCCCGAATCCAAGAGAGACGAGAAAAATTCATTAGGAATCCCCTCTGTGCTGTGGGACAGCGAGGCAGCAAGCCTGGGTCTGGGTGGTGACTTGATGTTGGTCTTTATGCAAAGCATAAATTGGAGCTGGTCGCCAGCTTGTTTTTTCTGTTCCCAAGTGACAAGGACTTGTGGATTGTTCACATGATCAACAGTGTTGAAATGCAGCTTCCTCCTGCACAGAGCTGTTAAGGCAGATCTGCTATAACAGAAGTGTGTGGGGTAGATTCTTGTAATGGGCTCTCTTCAGCCATACACTCTCCCACTTTGCCTGAGAGGAATTACCTGGTTTTCAGACGTACACATGTGAGGTTCAAAGAACTGGTGGGTTATCAGAGACCTTGCAGCAAGTCCCTACCCGAGTTAGGAGCAGGCAGCAGACAACCCAGCAAGGCAGGATCTCAGAAAGTGATCTGAAACCCCATTGCTAATTCCTCCCTCCCCTCAATATACACCAAGCTTTCTTGATCCCTGTGAGTAAAAAAGCCTTTTATTCCTTGCTTGCCTGCGAGTAGGCAAAGTGGGAGAAAACAGAATTAACACATGAATGTTCTGAGTTCATCCTAATTTGGATTTGTAAATGAAAACTGTTCTCCCTGTGGTTGGTAGATTCCCCCTGCCTCCTCCCCCGGAAGGGTAGGTGATTCTGGGATGAAGAAGGATGCTGGAAATGGCACTAAATCATTTGGTTATTTCTCTGTGTTAGAATATACTTCTACAGTTTACTGCATGTTAATGTTGTCGTTGCTCTTATACCTTCTTTTTCTTCTTTTTCCTCCCTTATGCATTGCCTCTCAGCACTGGAAAGCCCTATTTGATCAGGTATGTGAACAACTGATGTATTGTCTCTGTCTTGTGAGCAAAGATTCCAACCCCCAGTTAATTTCCTCTGTACTAGATTTCCCTGCTTTTAGAATACAGCCTAGAAGTAATGTGCTTCATGCTCCTAGTTCCCAGGATGCTGGTGGGCAAGTCACTACTGCTTTGGGCCTTTCTCTCAATTTCTCTTCTGAGTAGCCAGGGTCAGAGATGGGCCCAGCCTGGGCACCCCTTCTAGCACAAGGGCTGAGCTGAGGGCATGCAGCAGGTGCTCTGTTTGCTCCCAGTTGTACCATCCTTGCTCTGTGGATTAAAAGATCTTCTACTGATTGAGGCAGGCAAACTAGGACCTGTAAAACAAGCACTGTATTCTTTTAAATGCCCCCCCCATTTCAGCTACTAAACTGACTGCTGGAGGGTTGCATCCTCCCAGGGAGGACATGCTGCTTTAAACTTGCACAGAATTAGCGAAATATCTGCTTCTATACCAAAGGCTATGGTTGTATCAGGTAAATGCCTTGGGTCAGATCTGTAGTCACCCGAAATCAGCACAACACTGTAGAGCTCTGAGTTATAGCTGCTGCGAATTTGGACTGGGAATTCTAGTTTGTAAATTATGCTTTTAGCTGCTTTAACTGACGTGTTTGCTTTGTGGTGTTCCTTCCATCTGCCAGGTTGAAATGTGAAGCAATCATAAACCGAAGAGTTTTTTTGGGGTTGACTTGCTTCTAAACTGCAGAGCCTTCTTGATGTCATAAACTTTTGTGCTGTTGTGTGTGCGTGTAAATGTCACCTTCTGTAAGGGAGCTTATTCTGATGCTGGCATCGTCCTGGCAATGCTAAAGTTCAGATAGCATTTTGTCCCTGCTTTATGAGCCGATAATCTTGCTTCTGTGTCTGGCTGAACTGCAGAGCCAAAAGCTATGATGCAGTCTCTGCAAAAGGATGTCCTTGGTACCCTGGGGGTCCCGTTATCATTCAGCTAATAACTGGACTGCTTGTTCTGATGAGTGCTCATTTATAGCCACTTAGCCATGACAGGCTAAGAATCCATGGGTCTGGACTGAAGTCCATTTGTTGTATAGTCAAGCAAGCTGGCAGCTGGGAATTAGGTTACTATAACTGTTGATCATGCCTAAGTTCTGTGGTGTATTTGAATTCACTGCCACTCAAAAAGGTGGATGCAAAATAAATTGCTTGTGGTCTGGGCTGAATGTTTTCAGCCACTTTGAGTTCTCCCATCTGAAACGTTGGCCTTAATTTGGAGTCTTATTCCACAAACATCCTTTGAAGTCACTGAGTCCTTGTGGGATGGGGCTCTTGGCTGATAGCTACCTCGGGCTCAAAGAGAGGAATCTGTAATTTCCCACTGGATTTGCTTGAATAGTAGATGGAGGGTTTTTCCTTCTTTTTTTTTTCTTTTTGAGGGAGGGAAGAATTTGACTGTTGGAATTTACAGAACACTAGCCCAGTAACAAGGGAATGGGCTGAAAAGGCAGGCCTTCAATAATTAGCTATGTTTCAATTAGGCTGCAGCTGAAATTTAAGCCTAGTCTGTAAGGCTTTATTATCAAAGAGAATACAACCTGTGACAACTAGTTGTAAGTCCTGAATAAATCAATAACGTCCTTGTTGCCCATGGGCAAAGCCAAGGAGCTGATATCTTCCTTGAGCATTATGTCAGCAATGCAATGCAATTAGCCCTGCAGTGAATTGCAAGATGTTGTTTGTCATGGAACAAGGTTGCTATTCCCAGCAGCTCTGTACCGAGAGGAGAGGGGAACGTTTTGTTTAGCACTGATTGGCACCCATGTGCAACATGAGGACTGGCTTAATAACTAGACTAAACCCATGTTTTGAAACTCAGAACAGTTGCAGCTCTCCCTGGGAGATGTGACCTGGCCTTATGGTTACTTAGAGTGAAAATGGGTGGCCAGAGATTAATGTGCCCTGTGCATTTGTAACTCCTAGGCTGGGACTGAAGTTTGCTGGCCACCCTCTCCTGCTGAGGCACACGGGCTCCTGCATTCACTGTGTCCTAGGAGAGCGGGAGAAGGCTTTGGGGAAAGTGTTAGAGCAGTTGGGAATTCACAGTCTGGGAGTCTCCAAGTCTCTTGTTTCTAGGGTGGTGGAGTATGACAGCAAACAGTGCAAGGGAGGGGTCAGCACTTCCCCCCCCTTGGATTTTTGCTTATTTGTTTCAGGGGAGAGGAGTGACTGACAATGCTTTCTGAAAGAATTTGTTTGTTCTGATCTAACTCTAATCTGTCACACTGGGAATTGTCAGTGACTCAAGCCAGGATCTCCAGTCAATTGCAGATTGCTTCTTTTTGAGTAGTAAAAGATATTTGGCAGAAAGTCAGACCCAGAAATGCATCCTAGGCATTGAGGTTCAAAAAGCCCTTCCCAGGGCAAAATCCTGACTACATTGAAGTAAGTACCAAAATTCCTCCTGCATTTAGTGGGGTCAGCACTTCACCCCGAACTTTTGGAGCAGGCAGACTTGCAGCTTTTCAGTGCTGCAGCCAAGCAGTTACAGTACAGCTGCTGCTTCATGCTGTGCTTAGGAGATGTGTTTTTTATTACGAGGACGTGGCCCTCGGGCAGCTCTAACTCACTTTTATATGGGAACTTTTATAGGGATTCATACATTTATTTATTGTGCTCATAAACACCCTCCACCCACACACACACATTAGCTCCGCATCTGCTGCCTTCTGCAGAGACTGCACCATTGCTGAGCACTCCATGCTGTCTCCTTGTGGAATCCAAGCTCTGAGCAGAGCAAGGCATTGCCTCTGTCCATCTGTCCACAATCACTTAGGGTTTTCTTATTCTTTTTTTTTCTTCATTGGCCAAAAAAACCCTTTTTTTCCCTTAATCTTCTGGTAAAGTTAAAAATGCCACAATCCCAGGAGCAAGTCCTGACAGTTTCACACTTCTCTCTGCTAATAAGATACCTTGTTCCTTGCCTTGCCCACTAACATAAGAACATCTTGTTGTCCTTGTTGAAGGCAAGTTGTCTGATCATTAGAGTGCATCTGCAGATGAGTTTCCTGAGGGGCTCTCCCTGCTTTGCTCTGTCCTTTCTAGGGCTTTGGGTGCCCATCTTCACCTCCATGTCTCCAGTGCCCCTGCTTTAGAGATGACTGCAGCTAATCAGTATCATCCAGCCTTGGTTGTGCTTGGTAAAGGGGCTATCTAGGAGGAAAATGTTCATTATTAGGACAGACCTGCCTTCTGAAGGTGGCTTTTAGCCTTGTTAGATACCAAGATACCATCTTCTCTGTTTTTCCATCCTCATGGCTGCAGAGATTTCAGGGGTGAATTAACATTATCAGCCCTCATCTCAGAGTTCTCACTTCTTCTCACCCATACCCCGGTTTGTAGTCATGACAACAAACTTGTTTTAAATAGACATAGAGAAAACTCTCAAAAAGACCCTCCTCACTGGCTCAGCACCTTGATGCTATTGCTTGTCAATCCAGGCTGTGTTTTTGTTGCAGCTGCTTTAGAAATCCTGGATTCCTTCCTGAGACTTGTATGTGGGTGTGATGGCAGCAGATGAACAGAGTTTATTGGGAATGCAGAGAGATGCCAAGTTAGCCAGTCTGTGTAGGCAGCTAATGGAAAACTTGAGCTCAGAAACAAGGTTGTAGAGATATCCTGGACCAGACATGCACTTGCCAGGAAGAGTTCAGATGCTGACACTACCAGCAGTGGGTGCAGCTGAACCTGCTCTGCCATGGTCTCATAAAACATTAAATTATGCTTGAAAATATGCTGACTTTGCAGCTGCCTTAAGTCCAGGGCTGGTTCTTGCACGACTTAAATTGCAAAACAATCCATAAAATCAGGCCAGCTATTGTGATGGTTGATGGTAACTGGGAAAGGGAATTATTTTGAAGTCAATGATCTTTTATGTTAACTGTGTCCCTTTTCTCTGGATAGCCTTTAACACAGGTGGGACGAGCTATTTCCCATACTGTAAAAGACATTCCAGTTTGTTCACTGGGGCACTGTGGAGCTAAACATCACTTCACTGTGGAAAGGTTCCCTGGCTATTGTTGCTGTCTAACCACTGCTGGCTGTGGCTGCAGCACCTTGTCAGGCAGGTCTCTGAGCTTGGGGCAGTGGTTTTACCACTTTCTCTGGCAATTTGCTTGTGTCTTACCACTGGTTTGCGTGGGTCACTGGGAACAGGAGGAGCAGAAGCTGCAAGGTGAGGAACAGAAAGCAATGGCAGTGAGAGCAGCAATACAGGCAGAGGGTTGAGCACAGGCTTGTATGCAAACTTCAAGTCCTTGCCTGAATCTTGGACTGTCACTGACTTTTTAATGTAGTGTTTCTCAGGACATATGTCCACATTTAAGTGGTGGGGTGCTGCAAAGAGGAGGCTATAGGAACTGTTATTAGGAAATAGTCATAGACTTGTTACTTCATCTCCTAAGGTGAACTGCAGAATCAGAGGTGCTGGTGGGAAGACTGTCCACAGTGACAACAGTTTAGCACCCAGGCCCTAAAACCAGGGTCTGTCTTGTCTGCTATATTCGACATTTCTGTGAGCGTGACAAGAAATTTGCCCCCTTCTCCCCCTCTACCACGCTGCACATTGTAAAGTGGAAAGACACTTTAAAAGCTACAAGGGTCTCTTGGCAATGCACAGAGGGGGTTCAGCATCTGCCCCACGCCTAGAAGTCTAATCTCATTTACACTTGTCAGTGTGGGCTGCTGGAGGAGATGAAAGGCAGAGGACAAGGAGGAAGAATAGATTAGTCTTGAGCAGAGGGCACTGGGAGTGCACCTGCCTCTGTCCCGCTACCTTGCGGAGGGGTGGCAGCAGCAGCTGGGCATGTGTCATCTGCTGCTCTTTGAGGCACCCAGCCATGGAGCACACGATTAATGACTCAGGGGGCTGGGCTTTTGTGAGCAATAAAGCCCTGGGATTTAGGCAGAGCTCTCTGGCCTTTCTTCTGAGCAGCCCCATCACTTTACATTTCTCA